AGTTACAAAAACAAAAACTTCAGCTCCTAAAGCTAAAGTTCACCAGTTACAAAACAAAACATTCAGCAAAAAAGATGCTGTAGTTTTTACAAAAAACAAAACACAAATTCAAATCCAAAAATAATGCTGAAGTTCATAAAAAACATAGCAAAAAAACATAAAATATGAAACAAAACTTCAGCTCCTATCTAAGGTATCACTAAACTATTATAAACTTCACACTTTAATAGTATCATATATTTAACTTTCAAAATTTTTAAAAATTTCGACGTTTTATAGAATTTTCATCAACAACACAAACACACGTTCAAAAAATCTAAAAACACAATCGTAAAAGTAAAACTAATGCACTTATCAAACTAAACCTTAAGAAACTATTTTATTATAAATACATGACTATCAAAACCAAAACCAGAAATTAAATCGTAAAAATTAATACTAAAATAAAACCCAAAAAGTTAATGCAATGTATTTGTGATTAAATCGTAATGTTTTTGGGGAACAATAACAACGACGACTAGCAGTTGAAAATCAAAAACAACGATGAAAACCGTTTGATTTCAAAGAAGAACAAATCAAAAAACGCGAATAACGGGAGAAAGAGACAAAGACACTAGAGGACTAGCGTATACTTGGAGAGAAGTAGTCTTTTAATAAAGAAGGGCAAAATAATCTTTTTAAAAGGCTTTTAACAAAAAAACAGATACGGGTACAAACAAAAAAACAAAGCAGCTACAGGTTAAAAAGGGGCGCCCTATTGTTAAAAGGTACAAATTCCTTATTAAGCTCAAACGCCCAAAAAAGATAAATTAAAACAATGGAATTTAGGGCTAGTTCATTTGATGAGCTCCTACTTTTCATAGTTGACTTACAGTATGTACGAAGGTACAAATTGCTTAATAGGCTGAAAAGCAAAAAATTAATTAAAACTATAAGGTTGAAGGCTAGCTCATTTGGCGAATTCCTATCTTAATTTGACTTACAATACGTACAAAAGTACAAATTACTTAATAGGCTCAAAACCAAAAAAAATAATTAAAAATATAAGGTTGAAGGCTAGCTCATTTGATGAGCTTCCGATATTCCACAGTTGAGGTAGAGGTTTCAAACACCATTATCAGTGTCCTCCCCCCCCCCCCCCCCCCCCCCCCCCCCTCCACACCCCTAATGTAGTTAAAAAAACTATAACTATAGAATTCCAGATTTAGTCATTTTTCGGTATAGGAAATTTGAGTTTTGGTGAGTTGTATAAGAATTTTTTTTTTTTGGAAAGTAATAGAGTTGTAGAAGAAATTAATACAAAGTCCAGTGACTTTAATGATACAGAAAACTATTTTGTGACTTTATAGATACAAAGAGTAAAATTCAATGACTTTAAATGCAAAAATAGTGTTCTTACTTATTTAACACGTCGGATAAAATTCAATAATCATGCGATAATTTTAGTTAATTAGCTTGGTGCAAATATGAAAGTATTATTGGAGATTGGCACATTCTGCAGTACTATACAGTTTAGCTTTTTCTTTTTTGGTACATTGAATAAAAGTACTAAATCCAACTGTTTAGTAGTGCTTGGTTTTTAGAACAGACCAGCTGACTTGTACTTTATCAAACTCAACTTCTTCTTGTGAATATATATGCCAAGTTCCAACTATCATTGGAACCCAAACACTACCCACTAAATGACTAATCCTTAAAACCCAAATAAAAACAACCTCAGACTTCCCCAGTCACTACTCACCTGTAAAACCCGCACGTGCCTTTGACTTCTATTAGAAGCTTCGAAATTCAGCACTTAAAAGCCCTAATCTTGTCACCCTTTGACCCGAAGCCCGAAGCTCCATCACTTGCTGATCCTACTCTCATACTCTGCCAAAATTCAACTCCATTTTTCTTGAATTCATTACTTCATTAGCTCAGGTGAGTTTCTCTTTTTTCTTTTTCTTGTTTATTTTTGCTGCTTTGGACTTTTATTGAGGTTTATGGTGTTTATCTACTTCTGATCGCGATTACACTTGTGGGTTTGATTTTGAAGTTTATAATTTTACTTGGGGTGTAGTAAAGTTTGTTTCTTTGCATTTTTTATTTCTTATTTCTACTGTTTCTTGAAGAATTCAGTGTCAATTTTCAGAATATTCCTATGCTTGAATTGTTTGGTTACTGTTATTGTAAGCTGGATTTTGGACTGGTTCCTTTGCACCCACTTGCTTACTTCTAGAATGTATCATGATGAGAGTCAAAGCAGTCTTGTGAATGCCGAGTTCATCTGGTCCTTACTGGAACTTAAAGTTAGTTTTCTTCTGTATAGTCAACTGAATGTGTCAAAATGTTTTACTATGCTTAACACATGCTAGTAATATAGTGTTAAGGTTTTCTGGTTTGAGGGCAAGGGTGTGACTAAGTAGTTGGAGGGTAAAATGGCCATATTCACTTGGTTATCTCACTCTCCTTTTGTGCAAAGTAAAAAGATTCCACCTTTCTTGCCTCAAGTTGTGGACACTGAATCATCGATCCGGTGCTGTTGATTTCTAAGGTTGATTTCTAGTACTACAAATAATAGAAAGAAAAGGAAGCAAGTTTGCATCCTATAGACGTCTAGGACCTCCGACCAATGAGGTGACAACACATGCATACACATGAACTTCTAATGACTGAGTTCCACTGAGTAGTTGGAGGTTTCCTCTTTAAATTACAAAATTCAAAGACAGTTGTACTTGTGAATTCTTTGTGAGATTGAATCCTATCACATAGAGTCTTGCAAGATTGCATAGAGAAAGAGAAAGAGATCCGTCTTGCTTATGCATGCTTCTTCATTGGATTGAGAGTGCAGTAGCCACTTCTTACCGAACTTTTTTTTTTTTTACCACTTACCAAACTTAATGATCTCTTTTTCTGTTTTAATTGAAATTGTGGAATTGAGAAGTTTATAAATCACTGTGCAATAGGAAAGACATATTGAGTTTAATTTTTCTTCTTCTTGCAGAAATTGATCGCAGGATGTAGGGAGCATATAAAGTGGATTTTGCTGCTGAGATCAGCTTTGTTGATGGATTGAGTAGAGATGCTCTTTATCCTATGAATTTCGTGGTTCTTTTCCTGATTGTTTAACTGTTTCTGGTCAAGGTTCAAAGTGCACTCGAGAGTGAGAATGCCCATAAATCGGCATTGCCCCCGAATTGACACTTACGAGTTGAAGCTTCGGATTGAAAGGAAGATTGGTCAACAGAGGGCAGAGAAGTATTTTACTGTGTTGAGCAGATACTTGAGTCTAAAGCTTAGCAAGTCAGAGTTTGAGAGATTCTGCATTTGTTTGTTGGGGAGAGAGAATATCTGCCTTCACAATGCACTTACCCGAGCAATTATAAAAAACGCTTGTGCTGCTAAGACACCTCCGACAAAAGACTGCAAAATGCAGGCTTCATTACATGTCAAAGTCCCAAATGGATGTCAAAGAGGAACTCTCCAATCACTGTGCCGGGACTCATTTCCTCAATCTCCGAAAAAGGGGAGAACTCCTACCCTTCGTGATCGAAGATTCAAGGACCGGCCGAGTCATCGGGGGCCTCATGAGAAAACACATTCTGCTGCTGCTTGTGAAGATACTGCACCAAAAGCACAAGAACATCAAACTGCTACTGAGTTGATATCATTGGGTAGCATTTGGAGTAGAAGTCATGTAACTGCTCCCCTTGGCATCTCTCTGAGTAATCGGGGAACAAGAAAAGTAGCATGTCGCAGGTCAGCTCTTTTGCAAAGCATAGAAACTTGTAATAGCACTGGTGATTTGCCTGACTCCAACTCCCTAAAGAAATGGTTGGAACAGAAGTCAGAGGCAGAAGGCCTACAAATATCAACAGATTCTGTAAATGTGTTGCATCATGGGCTTGATGCATTTATGAAGCGATTATTAAAGCCTTGTTTGGAATTAGCAGGATCAAGGTCACAAGACAAGTGCATCCATGACCAAGCTGTATCAGTTTCAAATAAAACAAGGCCGAGAAGATACATTCAGAAACCAAGTGATCTCTTTTCTGTTTCAATGCTGGATTTTCGCTCTGCAATGGAGTTGAATCCCAGGATACTAGGGGAAGATTGGCCAATACAGCTTGAGAAAGTTTCGTTGCATGCATATGAAGAATCATTGATCGATTAGTGCATTGATAGCGGTAAGTCTGTGACGTCAAGTCCATCTGAAAGTGACGAGTTGAGCTGTGCTTTTGAAAGGCGATCAAACAGTGATGCTAATACAGTTTAATACAAGCACTGGTAAAGCTTCAACGTGGTTTAAAGCTACGCAAAATTTTGGATTAAGGTTAGGTTGTATATACTACATCTTAGAGCTGATTATTTCTAAATTGAGAGTTGTTATTACCTCGTAAAGTAGCAAGATATCAATACTTGTAAGATTCTAGCCATTACAGATAAAGAGTTAAGTAGGCTTCTTTTAACTACTATCTATAATCTTTCATGTAACTGACTGTTGTCTGTTAATAAAGCTTAATTTGTTAGTATCTGTTTAACACTTGTAGCACCTTTGAGAGATGGATCCCCTACTCATAAATTGAGATCTAAATAGGAGTATGGCTACAAGTCAAGTTGATATGAAAAGACAAATATTTTGATTTGAAAAGATCCCTTATTAGACTAAGTGGGCGTTTGGACATAAGAATTGAAAATTCTGGGAAAAATGAACTTTTTTCAAGTGAAAAATGGTATTTGAAAATTAGAGTTGTGTTTGGACATGAATATAATTTTGGGTTGTTTTTGAATTCTTGTGAGCGACTTGAGTGAAATTTTTAAAAAATAGCTTTTGGGAGTTTTTCAATTTTTCAAAAAATTCATCTTCAAGCGAAAATTGAAAATTCTATGGCCAAACACTGTATTTAAAAAAAAAAAAAAAAAAAAAAAAAAAAAAAAAAAAAAAAAAAAAAAAGAGGTTTTTTNNNAAAAAAAAAAAAAAAAAAAAAAAAAAAAAAAAAAAAAAAAAAAAAAAAAAGTGGATTTTTTTCGAAAAAAGTAAAAAAAATAAAAAATCATGGCCAAACGGGCTCTAAGCCGAGAACAAAAGCATTGGGCAGACGGGTTAAATGTGTAGCTTCTACTTGAAAGTAAAGTAGTAATAGAAAATTAATTTTTGAGAAAATATTGTGTGGGATAAGGGAGAAATATGTATTATTCAAAGTTCGAGATGAGTTTGAATTTTAAGAAAAATTGTAGGGGAGAATGACTTTCACCCTGATATAAATTGTAACGTGAATATTTTTATGTTTCTCATTTTTATATATATTTTGACGCTCGAAAGCACTTTTTTTTTAAAAATAATTATCTTAACACAAACGGTTTCTCACTACTTTCGGTAAGTCAAAAGTGCTTCTCAACTAATTTGGCCAAATTGCTGATTGCACATCGAATTCTGTAAATTCTTTAGGAAAATCCCAGCATTCTGTTGTCGTTTGGCAGTAATTAATTATAAGGCTGTATTGTTTCCATAATAAGTTGAACTAAACAAGGTTGTTGTTGAGGATTCTTGCCTATGCTTAAAACGCAGAAGTTAAAACACTTATATAACATAAAACAAAGGAGAACAAAAGACAGAAATATAGCTAAATCCATTACTGCTTTCCCAAAGATTCAAATACTTCAGCCAAAACCAACAGCTTTATGGCAAATTTAGCCGCATCATGATATCGAATAACGCCTATCTCTACTAATTGGTTTATATCTTCCTTTGCTGGCCGATGGCATGATTACATGATCAGCTCCAAATGATATTGGATACAGTTTCCCAAGCGTTTCGGAAACTGAGCTTATGAAAGATTTTCTTCGCAGACGAGGTTTATCAGAAGATATTGGAGTGGTGATCTCCACAGGGGTACTAGTAGCTGATATATCACCACATTTTTCAATTTCATTCAACCTCGTTTTCATTTTCACTAGCTCGAATTTTAGATCTTGATTTTCTCTTTTTAGACTTGAGACTTCATCTGTAACAGGGTTATTGTCGGTGGATGACTCATCTGCCCCGTCTAGACTACCATCCATAACTTGGCGAAGGCGTTGTTGTTCAAAGTAAAGCACTTGCACAACAGTCTGAACAGGGAGCCTCTCATTCTGAGCAGCATGAGCACAAGCTTCTCGAGTTAGCTTTTGACAGTTCATAACACTGCAAACTCTTTTTCTCTCAATGTCACTTAGAGCTGGATGTGCCTTCAAATTTTGAAAAAGCTAGAAGATTAGACAACTATTCTCCGGTAAATTTATTATTATTTAAGAGTAAGTTCTGTACACTAACGGTACATAATTCTTTTACATTATCAAGTCAAAATGACATAGACCAGTAGATAGCTATTCATAGCAAGCCTGATATAGTAACCTAAAAAATAGAGTAATAACCTGGTATTTCCGATTAAATTGAGATGAGAGTATGAAAGATTTTTAGGCTATGAGTGTATAAAAAGGGCAGCCCGGTGCACTAAGCTCCCGCTATATGCGGGGTCTGGGGAAGGGCCGGACCACTAGGGTCTATTGTGCGTAACCTTACCCTACATTCTGCAAGAGGCTATTTTCACGGCTCGAACCCATGACTTCTTGGTCACATGGCAGTAACTTTACCAGTTACGCCAAGGCTCCCCTTCTATGAGTGTATATGACCTAAAATCCTTTATTTATGACGAAGATCAACTAAGCATGATCTGAAGTTTCAAAAGTCTTTCTTGCCACAGTATGACAAGCTGCTTAGCTATAAACCTGCTTATTATCAAATGTAACTGTTTGTTAAACTGTACATTTGATCTAAAGATGACACACTTGAAAGAACATCAACATATAACATGTTTAATATCCTGTAAATGCATAGGCAGAAACACGTGATATCGTAACCTAAGATGCAGGGCAATTCTAACATAAGATGGCTTCTGTAGCAGAGAAGTAAAATTCAACCCTTAGTTTCACTTGTATATTGAAAAAACATCTTCACTTAACTGAATTATGCCTTTAATGGATTTATGCAAGAGATCATAAGGATTCAAATACCACTTAACATCCCAAGCCACAATATTTCCACTGTTTAGGTGCAACCTATCAAAAATATGTCATTAAAGAATTTGATATTTCAATCAAGGTACTAAAGCAGTTGATTAAGCCATTACTATTTAGCAGTTGGCTTCAAAGATTTGTTTTTGGAGGAGTTAATGAATGCTTATAATACATATTAAATTAAACATTTAGTATGACCTAAATATACGATCATGCCCTTGTAGGTGTACTAGTGCACATAGAAAAATTGCTCCACCGGGCGAATGATTCAACGTGCATACCTTCAAATAAGTGTCAATGGCCTTGTACATCCTATCTTCTGTGATCCTTGATTTCTCTGGAATGACTTCAGCAATACTGATAAACTGCGAAACAGAGAGATTATTGTCTGAGGCTATTTTAGCAAGGTAATCTTCCATGAGTTCCCCAACTTTCTCCATTTCAGTTGCTAATGGCGGCACATACTCTTCATCGTTGAAGCCAAACTGATTTTCCACCATTTCATACTCAATGAAATACGTCATGATACGTTGCACGATTTCAACATCAAATAATGTGTCTTCTGTGAAGGAAGAATATGAAGGAATTAGCAAATCATCTAATACAGCTTGTCCAAGTTGCAACGCGATTCTCCTCTCCAGATCAACCCTACAAGCAACTGTGGTTTCAAGATATATTGCAGCGCGAAGAAGCATTGAGAGAAAACTAACTGACAATGCATTTTTCTCCCTTGGCAGAAGACTAACTATGGTTTCAACAACAACCCTCTTTTCATGTACTTGTCTCAGCTCAGTCATTTTCCTCTCATTTCCTGATATTTCCTGGAATAACAAGAAAATCATATGCATAAATATTTCAATTATCCAAATTGAGCACATGCCTAAAATACTTTCTTATGTTTGAGCCTTGGTCTAAAATAATCCTTTAACTATTCAACTGAGCAGGTTTAGTCCTTCGTGTTAAAAAAAAAAACTGCGCACATTTTGTGTATTAAATATAACAGCGGCCATAGGTGTTCAATTTTGATTAACATAAAAGATCACTATTTATGTTACTTTCTCTAACCAAATAATCCTCCCTGAGGGTAGGGATAAGGTCTGCGTACGTATTACCTTCCCCAGACTCCACTGTTGTTATTGTTGTTATTGTTGTTGTTATTATCTCTAACCAAATAATCTAAACTCATGGGATGAGGACTCACCAAATTTTGAAGGGATTTCTGCGAATAGAGCATCAATACTGGTCCAAGTGCATACTGTTTGTATCCCCTAGCCATCATAGCAATTAGAACCCTTTGGAAAAAATCAATTCTAAGGACAGTTAAATCCTCAGCCCACCAATCAACAACAATGGTCCTCGGATTTGAAAATGTGGAGGAATTCGTCAAACTATTAGCGTCGACCTCTATTCTACCTGACTTACAAAAATGGCTATCCTTGCAAACCATGTATGCAATTGTATCTATGCTTCTGTTCACCAATTTTATATTTTCTGCAATTGGAAGAAGTTTTTCTGAAGAGTGCAAGACGGAAACTGCACCTGCAATGCTCTTAAGTGCTAACTCGTTTAAGTAGGCTTCTGATAATCCTACCAAATTTCCAACTGCATAGTCATCTGTCATATCAAGATATTCTGCTACACATCTAAGCAATGCGACGTTTCCTGAGCTTATCTCAAAGTTTATTCCATAACAAAATTTTGCTGCAAATTCAAATGCCTCTGCTCCACCAGGAATGTCAGGGATTTCGAATACAGAAAGATTAGCATCATTGGATTTTGCGACCAACTTCCTTATATATCCGCACTTTGAGACTAGTGGGAACTGCATGGAACATAAAAGTACTCATTATCAAAGACTTCACCTTTTAGTTAAGAGTTTAACTTCTACTTACTGACAGTATAAAATAATTTTAGATGACTATAGGTAACTGCCATAATAAGTGTAACTAGTTACTGAAAAGAACAATCTTGATTTGTGTTCTAGTTGAAATATATTAGGAACTTCTTAGAACAAGGAAAAAGGTTGTACCTTGTGCAGAGCAAAGGAAGTTCCTGCAACATGAACAGTTATATCACTTGGGATCTCCTGGGATAAAATCCTGCAGATAATATAAAGGTCACTCATTCATCAATGCCTACATTTTACCCTCCACTACTGATCATGTTACACGGAAAAATTGCATAAAGACGCGTAAAAGTACGCTGGAAACAACAAAAGAGAGAGAAATAACTGAAGATAGACTACGTACCATTCGGAGGTCCTTTTCATAACATTGGAAAGAAGCTCTTTTTTCTTAGTGAACATGTTAACAGTAGTTGAAGGTTGTGCAGTCTCGTCTGAACCAAGATCAACCATATTGGCCTATTATATAATTCTTGATAAAGCAAAAACTAGTATGTACTATGTCCTTTCCCCTGCTTCTTTAATTAATTCTCTTTCACCCACAAAAGAATAAGAGATCAACAGTTAGGGAATAAGTACAACTTCAGTGTTGGTCCGTAAACTGCATTATATATTACTGTCAGCAGCCAGTATCAATCATAAGATTGCAGAATTCCCATTATAGGCCAGAAAGTTGGCAGTGGAAAGATTGTGTACGAGTGAGCCTCTACTAGACACATGACACGAGTAGTGTTACATATGTTTATGTGAAGGTACTGGGGTTAAATATATTAGGATATAGTAAGGGATTTCGTTCAGAGTGTGTAGAAGTATAAGCACATCCAGTTTTATACAAATGATAAGATGATGGTGCCAAAAGAAAGGAAGTTTCTATCTTGGGATCATTTTCGTCCACAAAACTGTCAATGACTGACTTTCATTGTAATTGTAACCAGGAGTGGCAAACAGGCAGGTCGGGTCGGATATGGTTCGGGCCGAAAACGGGTAATGAAAAAAAGGATAAATTATCCGATCCGATACATATTTAATACGGATAAAAAAAACGGGTTAACCGGCAAATAATATGAGTAACCATATTATCCATGACTTCTTGCATATGATCACTTTTGGGAGAATTCCTAATCTCCCTAACTTGAGGAACCTCTAATTTGAGGTTTTACAAATGTAAAAGTTAAAACCATTGGTTATCCATTTTCTAAATGGATAATATGGTTCTTATCCATATTTGAACCGTTTTTAAAAAGCTCATTATCCAACCCATTTTTTAGTGTATAATATGGGTGATTAACTGTTTTCTTTTAACCATTTTGCCACCACTAATTGTAACATTCAGTACAACAGTACGTTAGTACCTAAATAAAGAAAGGCTAACTTATATACACTCACAGTATAATTTTTTTACAATATTAGTTAAAGGGGAGCCTTCGTGTAACTAGTAAAGTTGCTCTCATGTGACCACGACGTCATGGATTCAAGCCGTGGAAGTAGTCTCTTGCAGAAATATAAGGTAAGGCCGCGTACGATAGACGCTTGTGGTTCGGCCCTTCCCTGAATCCCGCGCATAACGGGAGCTTCGTGCACGGGGCTGCCCTATTAGTGTATTTAGCTTGTTATAGAGATTATTTTACTCTATATTTCAAAATATCAGATCGTGTTTACATGTTACTGCATGTTATGTAACCTAATGATTTAATAATATTACATACTATCATTATACATAACCTAAACTACATGAGTTAGGTGTGGCATATACCAATTTGTCCCAGTGAAAACAATCGCCGAGTGTTGGGATCGAAATAACATGGTGCATGCAGAAACTAACAATACAAAGCTTGATGGACGATAAATCAGACGACAAAAAAAAATATACTAAACTAAGCATAATAGTTTATAATGAGTTGATCAATTGATCTACATATGATAAAACTAATATAAAAGAAGAAAAATTATCGAGGGAAAAATCTCCCCCTAAACAAAACACTCTTTAATGACAACATTGTGGATTTTTTTTTTGTGCACTTGTACGAAGTAAAGATCCTTAATTTATAGATGTGCAAAACTTGTCTTCCAAGAAAAGGATAAGACATATTAAGGAGATTTAATCTTTTTAGGAGTCTTTTTTCATTCCTTCAAGAAAGAGAGTCATAATATATTAGAAATTAAGGGCAAATTCTAACACCAAGCTCCAGGTCGGCAGAAATCTTTCCACTAGAGGATGCAGAGAATTAATTATAAGTCAAACTAAAACCTGAACAATGTAGTGGCTGGAGCAATGAATGAGGAAATAATACCCCCACAGCCCTACACACCACGTCTGATGTCGCGGGCCTGCGCGAATAAGACGGGAGTCGGGAGCAAGAAGTGGGATTTATCAATGTGAGAATTAGGGTACGGAAGAAGCACATTAATTAGTACTGTATCTTCAGATGGATATGGCCAAGACTCAAAGGTGGACACAGGATATAGTGACATGACACTCCTTTTTTGAGTGGATATATGTGCGCTTTCTGGATAACAATTTTGCACTATATACAGATACACCAACCTGTTGGACATGGATAAGTTTGATATTAAGAGATCGAGGCCCTCATGAAATGAACTATCCAATGCTGTAATGAAATGAACTTGATAGAACACACAATGCAAATAGAAGCTTAATTTGGCTAGATTGAAAGCCAAAAATCTAGTCACTCTTATTATCGAAGGCTAGACATGTCCCTATTTACATGTCACTGGCAATAAACATACCATATATAGTATAAACTAACCTAGTATTTCATGTGAGTCACTTAGTATCAACAAAAACCTGACGGCCCTAAAGAGCAACATGCCCACGAGGGCACCACTACCAACTCTGACCTATTAGATAGGGACATTACCAATGTTGAAGATAGTTTGGCTCACTTTCAAGTCGCTCATTTGAGAAGCTAGCGGCCAAGACGAAGGGCGGAGGAGGTCTCACTTTCAACAAATGAACCTGACCTTTATATATATTTAGATTCATATACTACATTAGTGATAAATTGTCAAATAGTGGTTGAAAAATGGTTCAAGAGAGAAACATCATATTAAACTTTAAATAGTTTAGTGAAATTAAATCTTAAAATTTCTGGAATTTCTTTAAAATTAATATTATGATTACAAATATTGTGTGTCATTAAAAAAAATGAAGTATTCTTATATCTCGACACAAGTACTGTAACTTGAGGTGCATGTGACCAAAGATATGACAACTCATTGACATAATTAAACGTCCCAAATAATACCTAGCTAGGGGAATAGTTCCTAGTGTCGTATATAATTTAGTGCTTTAATTGAGATAGATGTGACCGAGGCTACCAATAGTTGTTGTCACCAAACCCCACACTATACCTAACAAGGGAAATAGTGAAGTTTTAGTGATCTTCTAAATATTGCTATCATATTTTGCCATTCCATCTGCTGTTTTGTTTTGCTCCATGTAGTTATGCTCGATCAAGGGGTCTCTGAATTAGCTGGCAAAGGCATGCAATCATAAATAATGTTAAGAGTAATGTGACCCTAGTTTTGTGACACTGATTGATCTTAGTGTATAATTTATTGATCGGACAAGAGGTCAATCATAGGATTGGAAAAATAATAGACCATGCTACATTAACTTAAATTTAGAAAAATGAGGACAGTATCAGGCCACAAGTTGCTCCTATGTAATCTCTGCGGACTATTTCTGTCTTCTTTCTTCAATAAGTGTTGCAGCGCAGACAGACGTATGTAAATTGAACCCATAATGTTCAATGTGGAGCATAAATTTACGTGTAAAAATTAACTAAAATTGAAACAAATAATAGATATGAACTTATAGCTTTAAAATTATAATGGGCTCAATGCTAAAAAATTAGAAGTTAAATGGTGGGATATCTCATGGGATTAGTTATCCCACCTTCTATATGGGATAGTTAATCTCATCATTTTAGTGCAAAAGTTATCCCGAGATTAGCTAATACCTCAAATCAAACATGGGATGAAGTTAGTTCCAATTTTTATCCCCGGATTATTATTTTTATCCCATGTACCAGACGACCCCATATAGTTTAAATCTTGTATCCAACTCCGATAGACACATTGATTGCCTTTACTATCCTCCGATTCAGAGGGCGTCAATAGAATCTATTGAATCCTGTACCAAAACAGTCGAAGGCAAATTCAGAATATTAAGTCATGAGTCAAAACAACAGGGTTCACCTCATGTTGCAAAACTAGCAAACAGTATATGACATACAGAAAATCAAGCGATGAAATTCCAAAGAAAGCAGATATAAGTGCTTCGAAATGCTTAATAGTGCTGCAGAAAAAGATGCATATTCCAGCAGGATAACTTTTTAGGTTGGACCAGTGAGTGATGGAGGCAGGTACTTATACAAGGGAATAAAAAAGAACACTAGAATGTTACAATTGAGATTTGAATTTTTGAACATCCCTTACACTACACTAGAATATCTTTTTAGGGGATTCAACAAACTTATATACATTAGTTTTTTGACTTTTTAGTTTAGGGCTTCCTGCTTCTATAATAGTATAGATTAAAAAAATATGTACGTTGTAATTGGGCTATTTTTAAGTCCCGAACATGTTAAAGGATCCTTCTACCACTGATCAAATTAAAGGTCTTGGTTTGAGCTATTGGAATGAAAAAAATTCTGGCAGGGAGTGCTTTCCCTTTTATATGGTCCACACGTGACAAGAATCTGAGTTTGTTGTTGTAACACTCCTCAAATTTATAAAAGTTTCAATACACGCTAAATATAGAATATAATTTTTATAATCTTAAATTATACTTCTAATACAGATTTAAACCCTTGTGATTGATTGTTGAGTTACTTCTCTATGTATAAATAATTGGATATACAATTAAAGAAAATATTAATAATTTTAATATTATTAATTATTAATAGTAGATAAAACTAAACACTAGTTAAGTCAAAAAAAAAAAGGGGCAAATAAGAAAAGAGAGCACGTGAAAGGCCTTAGCCCATAAGGGCTATGGAAAGAAAAAGGATTTTAAAAAAGGGTTTACACAAAGAAACAGGACAAGCGTCTCTTCATGCACGAAATACAGAATCGTGAAATAGAGCCTTGCTACTCAGTACTCACGCGGGCAATAGGAAGTTCTAAGTTTCTTTACAAATCACTAACTCTTGAGCTCAGGTATATAAAATTCTCTATTGTCAATTATTCTACAGTGGTAGTAGGTAAGAATTGAATAGTTAATTCCCTTCTTTTTCCGTATCAACAGTAAATCCCAGGTTTAGGTGTGAAACTTTGAAATTAATTAAAATGCACTGGTTGTTGTAGAATCAATTGTTTGACGGGTATAAATTGGATTGGGGTCTACGTATTGGCTCAAGGAGTATTGAGGTGAGTTGATATAACCCTTTACTAAAGTGGCTTAACTCACAAAAGCGCGCATACAAGATGTTTGATGAATTGCTTAAAAGAGTTTATATTTACTTAATTGGAACGAGTGAGTACCTATTAACTTAGAATTGTTCTAGCAAAAGTTTCGATGATTTATTATGATATATATGCATAAATTTTCAGATTTTTGTGTTATTCTTATATGTTATTTTCATGTTGAAAATTTATGAAGAAGCAAGAATCTTTAGAAATACTTTTAGATGTTTATTTCATTCTTATGTCATACTTTTTATTTAAGGATACCAGCATGAGCATGTACATGATGTTCCAAAAAGAAAAGATTTAGACTTGAAAAGTCACAAGAAGAAGTTTTAGAAAGAAAAGATTTTTGGGAGTATCCTTTATTCTGAGAAGGGGTCATCGCCCAGGCCGAGGATCCTGATCAAGGCGTTTGACTTCCTGAAACTACTTGTGCCAAAGTAGGGAGCACACGAGCCGAGGGTCTCGTTGCTGAGAATTTACTTAGTCATGCTAAGGTATGATACATGAGCGCTGAGAACCATGAAGCGAGTGGCACCTCGTGGATTGGGCCTATTCGATCAGGTTAGGATCGAACCTGTGCCGATCACACGGTGACTGAGACAGAATTAAGTCAAGATAGTTGGAACTCCCAAAGTATAAAGCGAAGTATTTTTTTTTAAGAAAGAAAAAGAAAATAATTTCTTTTAGAATATTCATAAACTGTTATTATGCAATTATTTTAGAATTGTTCTTATAAGCTTTATGTTTTACATGCATTTAGAACCTTTGCCCGTAATGTACATGTTATTAAAGTTTCGCCCCCTGTTGTTGAGACTCACTGAGTACAACGGATGGTACTGATGTTCTCTTTTGGGAACCTACGTTGGTTTGCGGTACAACGTAGGAACCGGATTTGCAGGCGAGCAGGCTACGAGTTAAGACTTCCTTCTCTTCCAGTGCTATTGGTGAGCTCCGCTTTTGTTCGTGGAGTATTCCTTAGAGTTATCTTTATTTAGTTATTTCTTTGTTTACTTAGAGAACTGGCCAGGAAATCTCATGTCCTGAGTAGTGCGTCAGTTTATCAGTAGAGGCTTCATAGACATAGTCGTTGGGTTAAGATTCATATGTTTTTGATAATAACTTAACATTAATTCAGTAGTTACTACGAATAAAGTTTTGGAGTTGATTTATTTAAATATTTAAATTAATCAAAAGTATTTGGTTAGAGTATTGCCTTGTTGCATATAAAGTTTGGAGTTATAATAGATTTGATAAGCAGAGATGGTTCGCTCGGTCATGTTTAGTGATCGAATGCAGGTCCCGACTTATTCAGAAAATGGGTCGTGGCAGTTGGACCATTGGACTCCGGATGTCAGATAACTATACTCAAATAAACATGTAAATGGGACCCCTAAACTAAGAAACCGTGGAAAAAGTACGAAGTGGACATATCAACTAGACTAGGGCTCCATATAGGTAAGAAAACATACATGACAAATTTGTAGAAAGAGCTTGCCGCGCTCTGAAAGCCTTTATTTTTTCAAAACCAGTTCCATGATAAGATGAAGTAATAAAAGATGAAGAAGATCTGATCATAAAGATGAAGGGCACTGAAGCCTAAAGGCACCAGTATTATAGTGGCCAAAATCTGATTTAACTCACGGACGTGGCTCCCAACTCTCAGCCGCTTCCATCGTTTTAACTTTTAACAGCGCGATTAGACGCATCAATCCACTATAAAAGGATACAAAAATTCTATTCAACTATCAATTCAAGCTGAACAAGGAACCCACTTATCCGAAATTACTCTAAGCTCTTTCTGGTGGTTCCCTCTCTACTGTTAAGCATGCTTAACTCTCCTCTCTTTGTATTGGCTGCCTCAATGCGCCACTATCACTTACCAAGCTCCGCTGATAAATGAAATGTTTTGGTTAGCCATCAACATTTGGTATCTAAGCATCTCCATTGTGTTCCATGTTGTTCTTACAGATTTTTAGAATTGTATTGACAAGCTAACTAAGCAGTCATTACTCTCCATCTGACAATCATAGTCTATGTAAACGAAGCCAAGCTTAAGCATTCAACTTCAGGGTTGGGTTTTGTTATTTAAATGTACTTATGCGTGCTTCGTTCCAAAGAAACTCAACTTAAGGTATTCGTTTTTCTTTGCAGGCATGGTATGTTGATCAAATTGTTACTCTCAAAAGACAATGTGAGATATAGAATCCGCTGCTACTAACAGCTTTTCGATAGCATACATGTTTTCTCCTGGCGCTGCAAAATTAGCAGCTTACTATGACAGTATCTGGAATATTGCAGCTCTATCAAGTCATAGCCCTTTGCAGGTCGGTCGTTTTTGTGCATCAATCAAAACGTTGTCTGGCCATTTTTGGTGGCTATTTATTAGTTTGAAAGCTGAAGTTTAGCTATTCTATTAAGATAACAGCTGGTTTCTGGTATTCCTTCACAAGACGTTTCAGTTTCAGCATTTGCATGTTCAGTTTCACATAATAAATTGACTCAATGGCAGGAGGTTTCACAATTAGGACAAACCACTAACACAACTTGAGAGTCTCGCAAACGAGCACACACATACAAGCAGTTCACAACTTGATTGGGCTGACTGTTGCATCTAGTGACGGGCAGATAATACAGACTTTTTTCTGCTAGGATGTTTGACACCTAATTAAACAGTTCACTTTTTGAGATGAGGAAAACAGGCATAGATATCAGATTTTGGATGTTTAGCTTCAGCATGTTCCTTGCACTTCACCTCTGATGTTGTGCACATAAATGTCTGCATACACACCTTGCACTGCCATCATCCATGAAATGAAAGTTAGCCAACAGTCATATCATACATAAAAGGTTCATTTAGACTGCAACTTGTGGGCCTCAAACCCAACGTAGAAATGATAGCCAATAAAATCTTCATTAGTCATAAGCCATAACAATCGTAACAAACAGGTCTGCTGGTCAAATTATAGGAATCGGATTTAGAAACTCCTAATCCACTATATCTAAGTCACAACTCACATGAGCAATGCAGTCATACAACTAGTCCCTTATCAGCCAACAGTTGAACAACAGAAATGATACATCTTACCTCCAACCCATTAGAGGTGACGTCCTGGTAATAATATAGGTGATAAAAGAAGAAAGAAAAGAAATTGGGGGGGGGGGGGGGGTGAGGAAAGGTGAGTCCACGTTCCGTTCTGACGATTAATACCAAAAAACAATAGTAGCACGCTGAGGATTTTCACGACTAAGACTGCTAGAAATTTCATAAAACATCATTAAGATTCATCTAATAAAATTGAACCATATCAAGTTAGAAGTATTATAGTGGCATTTGACTTGTGGCTTCGTTTAAGTGTCTAAATGGAATATACAGACAGACAAGTATAGGCGGCTGTATTTGGCCATCTTCTCATTATTGGACTTGTGGAGTCATGGGTCTACTTGCTTTGAAACATAAAACCAAAAAAAAGGCATTTTTGAAATCGAAATTTCTCTAATTAAGATACTTAACTAGAGGCAAAGAGAAGAAGAGTGAAAATATAACAAAATATATCAGCTAATAAAAAATTCATGTCTAAATCCTTGCTTTCTGTAACCTTAGGTCCGGCTCTTATATGGGCTCGCGGCATTGTGTAATGTCGGTATGTATATAGAGGGCTGGTAGTTAAGGCATCTGCTGACAGCAGCCATCGCTAAGGACTTACTCACATTGGTCCCTTGATAAGATAATATTGAAATTGATGTAGATATGTGCTTTTAGACAGGAATTTTTCATCAGCTGCCATATTTCTGTACCATTTTTCACTATCTTTTGCTCTTTCAGTTAAGTATCTTAATATGGAAAAATGTGGACTTTAACATTTTCTTTTTTGGTTCTATGTTTTAAAGTAAACTGGTGGGACCCATGAGCCCACTTGTCAAGTAATGGGAGATCCTCACATAAGTTATGTTGTTGTGCGACGCATAAAATAAAAATTCTAATCTTTAAAACCCTAAACAGTTGGCAAAACCGATAGGAAAGTCAACCTAGCCAAAACTTTATATCACTGTAAAGAGTAGATTGACTTTGAATCAGTTCAAAAAGCCCCTCTAAGGGAATTTTGGGCAAAGGCTAGTTCAATTTGATAAACCGTACACTAATTGAAAGCTTTTAAAAAGTGTGAAGTTTCAAATACAAACTAAAATAAATGCAGTAACATAACTTGAATCATTATTAGGTATAAAACCAATATCAATTGATTCTTTACGTACTGCAGCAAAAAACATAGAGCTTTCAAGCTTTTGGTAGTGACAGAAACTCATCCTTCTCTTCAAAACATTCTAAGCTTCTACATCCTAGTTCTTATTGATACCTCACCTCCTTATTGCATGGCATCTTCTGAATCTCTAGAGACAGAGATGAAAACTTCTATACCACCTAAGCCTCCCAGTATAGCAAAATCACTTCTGAACAAACCTAAGAAACCCTCATTCCAAGAAACTCCAGTGGCTACAGTACCCAAAGCAAGCTCAAAATTCTTCTGATAAGGCTGAAGCAAAATCTACTGTCTCATTACTAATCTGGGAGAATAATTCACCAATTCCAAATGATGATTATGATGCCATATTCTTCCCTCCAGAAGAAATAGCCCACATCTATCAGCCTTTGAAATTCTCCATCACTGAGAAACTGTTTGGTAAACAACTGAGTCACCAATATCTCCGACCAAAAATCAGAGACCTATGGAAGCCTAGTGAAGATTTCCAACACGGAGAACTTGGATGTGATTTTTACATTGTAAAGTTCTTGAAAGAAGAAAATATACTCAAGGGTTTTGCTTAATAGCCCTTAGTTCATTAATGATTTCTTTCTTTCAATTAAGATGGGAACCTAATGTTGTAGCTACTCGAGCAAAAATTGCTCTCTCAACAATTTGGATACGACTACTACAACTACCCACTGAGTTCTATGATAGAGATTCTTAAGAGAATTAGAAATAAAGTGGGTAGGTTGTTAAAGTCGATACATGTACTTCTTCCACTCTCAGGAGATGGTATGCTCGTATATGCGTAGAAGTACCAATTGATACCCCAGTTTACTCATCTCTTTGTTGACAATCAGAAGCAGCAAATTTAATACGAAGGAGACAACATTTTGTGCGAGGATGTTGCATATTAGGACACATTCAGCCATCCAGTCCTGCAACTATAATGCTCTTAAACCAATTGACGATTCTTCTATTCCTTAATCTGAGCAAAAAACTGCTTCTTTATCTTTGCAGGAGACCAATTCAAATGCTGAAAATTGGAAATGGTTACTCTACCTAGGAGAAAAAGAAACAATTGAGTTATCAATTCTCATCTGTCCCTGATCACAATAACCAATCAAAGGAACAAGGTATTAGTGAAGAATTTTATGCCAATACAGATAAGTAGAGGCCTAGTGGTCATTGAAGTGGGTTGAGAACCATGAGATCTCAGGTTCGAATCCTAGCGGAGGCAAAAATAGTAGGTGATTTCTTCCCATTTGTTCAAGCCTTGATGGACAAAGTTACCAGATACCCGTTACTGGTGGAAAGTAGCAGGTATCCCGAGAAATTAGTCGAGGTTCGCGCAAGCTAGCCTGGATACCATGGTTACCAAAAAAATCAAGCACAAAGAGAAAAGTTTCAACGTTATTTTTATGATAATTTCACTATTAAAAAGTCTCTTGCTCCTATTAAGCTCAGCCTTAGTAGAAGTGGGTAGCGGCACTGGGTGGACGGTCTATCCGCCCTTAAGTGGTATTACCAGCCATTCTGGAGGAGCAGTTGATTTAGCAATTTCTAGTCTTCATCTATCTGGTGTTTCATCCATTTTAGGTTCTATTAATTTTATAACAACTATCTTCAACATGCGTGGACCTGGAATGACTATGCATAGATCACCTCTATTTGTG